CGGCGCAAGTAAAGGAAAGGAACTGTGGAACGTGCGGCAAGGTAGGGCATAATGCGAGAACGTGTCAAATAGTTGTTTCGATGTCTGGAGAAGAGGAAAGCGATTAGTTTTACTTGATTGCGTGATTTGTTGTGTTCTCATGACGATTCCTGTCTCAAGGGTTAAGATTTTTGTAACACTCGCTTGTTTGTAACACTCGCTTATCATGTACGTTATAGGTAAAGGCGTTCCTGGAGCATAGATGGAAAATTGATTTTATTGTCATGATAGTGGTTCCGTTTCAGCGTGATCACCCGATGGGCCACGATACTAAGCTGTGATAAGGTATAGGTAAGTTAGCATACGTTTAGGGCACTATCTCCTAAACTTTGGACTTTTGGACATCTCTCGAGTTTTTGCTCGACGTCATTAGCTCTGTATAACAATACATCAGGTGCCTATGCATAGAGCGAATATTCAGTTTTATTAGATTAATGTGAGGGTACTAGCCTAGCCCCTGACTCGTACCAGGGGAAATATACAAAGACGGATCTTGATGTACTATGGTGCCGCTACTGTTCCAGTTTTCTGACATATGCCACAGGGCCTTCATAACGGTGGGTTCCGCGGAACAAATAGTAACCCACAGAGAATACCGCGACAGCCCCGTAGATGAGGATGCTCCAGTTCATCTCTGACGGGGATGGGTTGGGGTTTCCAGGCATGAAAGCCAGGACGAAGATGATGATGAGGAAGGCCTCGGAGACGATGTTTACAGCAAGGCCCCATCTACCAAGACTAAACTTAGATTTGAGAAGAGGACTGTTCGTAGATCGTCGCCAGATCATGCAGCCGATAGAAACGATGTAGCTCGATAGAAGAGATGTTGTTGCGAGCGAAGTAATCGAGTTGAGCGCGACTGCTGAACCAATGTTGATAAGAGACAGGAGACTCGAGATCAAGAAGGTCGTCAGGATAGCGTTGATGGGGACATCCCATCCCGTAGGGACCTTGGAAAACCATGGGCTGAATGGAACAGCGTGATCTCGTGCAAAGGCAAACAGTTGGCGTGACGACGTAGCTACCATGGTAAGGTTGGAGAAACCAGTCATGATAACGAGGAAAGACGCCATCGCAGTAGCACTACTAGTCGACTGAGTTGAGTTCAAAAACACTTGCATAAAGGGATATCCTGTTGACGAAGCAATCACCTCCTCAAGATTACCGATGCAGAAGCAGTAAGTGATGACCATGATCCAGCCAAATGCGCCGTTGAAGACTGTGGTTGAGATCATAGCCTTTGGTAGAGTACGGCTTGCATCGCGGAGTTCCTCGGACATGTGCACAGCAGCATCAGCACCAAGCAACGGCAATACACCCGCTAGAATACCAACGAGCGTTGAGCCACCAATACTTCCCCAGCCTCCACCATCGGTGAACTCGGTAAACACAGCTGTTGCATCAGCGCGCGGTGAGAGAACCCAAAGGGTAACCAATATTCCAAAGAAGGCAAAGATGTGAATGACAAGAACTGTCGCTTCAATCAACGGCAGCTTCCTGGCGAGGAGTGTGTTGAACACAACTGAGAACGCAGCTACCGCGATGGTAAGTAGTGTTCCGTGCCATGGCTTGGGAACGTATTCGGGGTAGTTCAACACCACGAGGCCTTGGATCTGCGTTCCGGCGATGAAGGCTGATGAAGCGCATGATGTCTGCCAGCCGAGGACACACATCCAACCCATGAGGTAGCTGATGAGCTTTTGGTATTGCGGGGGTGCGAATTCGGAGACCCAGTGGTATTGACCTCCTGTCGTAGGAGCCCTATAGATCTGTCAGTAATTGGCAGTGAAGTAACGGTAGTGGTACAGACATTGAAGCCATTTCGGCCATGGAAGTGTTGACGAGGAGGAAGCCCATCCAGCAGACGAAGAACATCCAGATGAGACCTGCTGTGCCGCCGTTGACGAGACCGATTGTTGAGACACTGGAAAGATCAGCTTTAGTAACTATCTTGTCGTCGGCGCAACGGACCTGAGGGAGAACTCCCAAGATGCCATGAGGATCATGGAGAAGCCAAAGATGGACAGGAAACGAAAGTTTCTCTGTCATGTCTGTTAGTTTGATACAATTGTGAGGACGAGGGTTGCGACGAACCGTCATTTCTTGGGTCTTTCCCATGCGGTACATGTCAGCGCGATCCGCCGCGTTACCCTTCTTCTCGTCGACATGCTCGCTGGACTCATTGATACCATACGCGGCATCTTGAACGTCGACTGATCGTTTATCGCCTTCAGCAGACATTGTGGCGTAGTCTTTCCCAGCAAAGACTCAACTGAACGAAAGAGGAACTGGTGATTTGAAGAAGGAAATAAAATAAACCGAAGAACAAAAAAGAAAAAGACGAGCATGCAGATGCTTCGGTAATAGAAATGCACGAGTGCGGCATGCAACACTCTTTAGGATGTACACCCGCCGACAGTTCCTCTACCTCTACCTCCAACCCTTGCCGACCCCCTGTTTGAACTTGAGACCCTGGCTAGACCCTGACTAATTGGTGATCCCCCCCCGTCCCGTGCCGAAGTCCGGAAGATCTTCCGCTGTGTTTAGCTGAGTCAAAGCAAACGACATGTTTGTCAAAGTCGTGTCATTGTCATAGCCATTGCAGTTACGAGACTCGCAAATTCTTGGTGTCGTTCGAGTTTTGCTTTTTAGTTTGTGTTTAGGCGAACGTCGGATACAAATGGAGTCGTTCGACGAGAGGAGTCAGGAACATGGTGGAGCTCATGCGGCACAAAGGACCAACAGTCTTGGCGGTTACAGGCATTGATTTCAGCCAAAATGAAGTGTTTTTTCTTCACCAGAACAACACATCATGTTGTCAACGCTCGAGCTTCGAGAGGATGTAGTTCTGTCAAGGATCAGCCACGTCTTGAACTCAAACCAACAGACATCAACTGCCGATCTCCTCGTGGCAGTCACAGACATTGCGTGGGTAATATTCCATCTCCTCGGTTAAGCCAATGAGCACATCTCACGAACTGCTTCCTCTGTTGGTTCACCCATGCTGTGGCTTGCATGATCCAATCCACCAACCAGGGCCCCCCATGTGAAGCCGTCACCAATGAATACGTAAGAAATATCTTCAGCGGAAATTCTCTACGAGGACCGTTAGCGAGGTGACTTGTTGTGCCGTTGGTTTGAGCCATGAATACCAAGAGTCCGGAAGGCCGAAAAGGATTCAGGTCATGCAGCCTTAATAATTCTGCAGAACCTGCCGTGATGTAATGAATTCTTCCCTTTTCTTCTTTTCTACTGTCATAGGTCTTTGAAACATGGATCCGAATGATGATCTATACCGGTTTTCTCCCGTTGCATTCAACGATCATGCGGGAAAGCTATGGATCGTGACGATCTTGTCGCTGATCTACACCTCGCTTATTGCGCTGGCAAGGGCTTACATCAAATATAAGATGTTTGGGTTCGACGATGTTTTGTTTGCTGCTGCGACGGTGAGAAACATACCTGGCCCAGAGCGTCTTACAGGATGCTGACTTTGTAGATTTTGCATTTGGCGCAGGCGATTGCTGTGTTTGTTGGGTTGAGTAATGGGCTTGGCAAGTTCAACTCGATTACGACGACGGAACAATGGGCGATCTCTTCAAAAGTGAGTCTCAACCTCTGTCGCTGTTCTCTGGTGCTAACAGATTTACTGGTAGTGCACAATCGCATCCGTTATTCTCTGCCTTCTAGCCCTTAGTCTCGCCAAGTGTTCCGTCCTCGCCCTCATACATCGCATCATTAGCTCCAAGCCTGGAAAGAACAAGATGGTCTGCATGGCGCTCATGATATTCACTGGGCTATGGGGCGTGGGTTCAAGTCTAGCATGGCTTGTGAATTGCCGCGCTGGAACTCTGTTGACTGTAAATAACGTCAAGCAATGTCCAGATCAGGTATGACCCAACATAATCGTATCCTTTAAAGCCGGGTCTAATAGTTCTTGGTAGAGTGCACGTTGGGGCGTCATCACGGCAATCGACATCTTGACCGAGATCCTAACCTGGCTCCTCGTTCTTCACCTCTCGTGGTCCGTCAACATCTCCTTCGCCCGAAAATGCCAAGTCGTAACAGCATTCTCATTCCGAATCCCACTCATCGCCATTTCTTCCGTCCATCTCGCATACTCTCAAACATACCCAACATCTCTTGAGCCTCAATTCGCCGTTACAAACACCCTCATCTGCCAACAAGTCATGATCGCCTGGTCCCTCATCTCCGCGACAATGCCCAACCTGAAGAACTTCCTCAAGTCCTTCTCAATAGGCATGGGCTTCCCAGTCGCATTTGACTTTACAATGTCGGGTTCAAGCAAGGCTTATGCACTGCAATCACTAAGGAATAATCGCTCTACGAATGCTGCTTCGGCGACGGCTACGGCTCATAGTGCGAATTGGAGACCTGATCAGGTGTCGAACCAAACTACCGCGGCACATAGATCGAGCAGGAGTAATAGTCGCGATGTGTCGGAAGAGGGATCGAGTTCAAGAGCAGGGAGTCAAGAGTTGATTATTAATAAGGAGGTTGCGTGGAATGTCACGTACGAGGACCATCAAGATGTATTTACTAAACGATAGACCAAGCCAACATATTAATAACGTGCTTATTGATTCAGACAAAAGTTCTCGGGGTTTTGAGTCAGTGATGCCCTGAGACATGCAGTGGGAGTGGAGCTTTGCATGCAAGTACAAGGGCTTCATCCATGTCGTGTCACGCCAGGTTCGCGGAACCCTTCCAGCGTCCAGGTCCTAGGATATGAAAAAAAATGTCGAAGGATCTGGGGACAAGGATTGAAGCGGGCTAATCGGATCATGTCGAAAACCCCGACCAACAACAGTTCTAGACCGTTTCAAAAGACTGTCCCAGAAATACAAGACTCCTGGCTCTTGCATTACGAATCACTACAACTATACTCCGTACACGTTCATTTTTCAACTGACTCGCAATGTCCGAGATCGTGTTACGCGATGCGTATTACTCGGAACTTCCGGAGATCGCAAATGTCATGTCAAAGGCCTTTTGGGGCGATAACCTTTTTGGCGATCTGATCCACCCGCATCGGAACGAGTACCCTGATGATGTAGATCTGTACTGGCTGCGACGTGCACGGGTCAATTTCTGGGATTACCGTTGGAAATGGCTTGTGGCTGTTGCTAAGGATGAGAATGGTAAAGAGGTCGTTGCTGGTATTGCGCAGTGGGCGAGGCTTGGTGAGGGGGGTAAAAGGTTTGATCTAAGATTCTATGATCCTCGTCAGTTCCTCTCTCTCTCCAACGCATGACTATAATTAACACAATTCCAGGCAACTTGCTGAAACCTTTATCCTCAGTCGCCATGAAGATTCACGCCTGGGCCATAACAAGTCGTGCAGTTGACCCCAAAGAAGAAGACATCATCGAAAGAGCATACCCTCACTTCGACTCAATATGGAGCGGCAAACGTGCCGAGTCGTGGTATCTCGAAGCATTAGCCGTCCATCCAGACTTTCAAGGGAAGAACATCGGCCGGCAGCTTGTCCAGTGGGGCCTTGACCAGGCTGAAGCTGAAGGAGTTTGCGCTTCGGTGGTGAGCGCCCTGGGCAAAGATGATTTCTACAGGAAATGTGGGTTTGACGAGCAGTTTGGAACAGCGAAGGATGGTGAAGGGAATCCGTTGGTTGATGTTGAGGGGTCTAATATCTTTTGGAAGTGGCCTAAAAGTAAGGAGTGAGCCTTTTGTGGTTGCTTTTGAGTGAGAAGAGCTGGGTGATAGAGTGTGTAGGTTGGCGGCATATCCGGCGATTAATATATTGGTAATAGTTTCAAGTCGCCCGTATTTGAGGTATATTTCAGATGTTTTTCTCATAACCATACCTCTTTTTGTAGATACATATCAAAGGCCTATCCCTGGCTGAAAGCCATCGTTGGTTTCCAAGGAGGCTGTTGAGACTAGGAAATGGAAAAATACCTTACCACCAACGCATCGCCAAGGCCATGGAATCCTTAGACACAGCCGAGCTTACAGATGTCTCCAGTAGCTTCAAAGGTATTTCAAAACGGGGTTAGGGCATGTCTTTCTGGAGAAACTCTAATTCTATCGGGTGATACTTTGGCCCAAGTTTCCTCTGGATAGCCTCATACTCTGAACTGTGGATTTCGGGTAATGCCTCATTTAGCCCGTACCACTATTTATTAATCTAGCCTTTTGTCGCTCTGGCTTCATTCGGTGCAAAGTGGGCTAATTAATCTCAAATTTCTCCATTCCTAGGCAACCAACCCGTTAGCGGTGGATGCCAGCCTTGATGGTGGATACCTCTCATGATATAAGAAGGCTTCTTGACCCAAACACCATCTCTCGTCCTAATAGTTAGACATTCTGTATCCCCTCATAGCCATGGATTCTCAGACTTCGTTTTTGGATTTACCGCGTGAGGTTCGGGACATGGTCTATGACTACGCCTTCGAAGATATCAAGTTCAGTAACGCCTTTACAACTCAAACCGCATATTCCCCTGATATATTACCTTTGCTTTACATCCATAAAATCATATCAGACGATCTTCAGCCTCGTCGTTACCAGAACCACGCTATTGTTATTCCACTTCAAGAACCTAGCACTTATGCAACTGGACAATGGAGTATAGTTCCCAGAATTGCGTGCTCCGAGATGATGCAGCAACGCTCCAACACCCTCATCATTGAAATGTCTCAGACGACTATCTCCTACTATCCAGATTCAGTTCTGGAAGACGATGAGGACGAAGATCCCGTTGAGGATGACACCTTCTGGTACCCTGACAGTCGAGGTGGAAAGGCACTACCCCAAAAGCTCATCAGCGATATTCTCGCTTTGAAACAAAGTCTCCCGGCCCTTAGAACCATCAAGTTTGTATTCTGGTTCGGGAACTGGACTGCCTGGAGCCATACCTGGGAGGAACATCTCGAGAAGCTCAGGGCTACTTGGCCGGAGCCGTTGCTGAAGATCGAGATGAATCTGTTTGAGTTTGTAGACGACCAGGTTGCGGACGGCGGATTCAACTGGGTCGAGGCATGGTATTACTGGGCGATAGAAAGAAAGAGGATCTGGTTTCAGGCAAACAACTTCAAGTGGAAGGATCATGCCAAAGGGGATTTTCGAGGTCGTAGGATTGATGTCCGGGTGTGGCAGGATGAAGAATTTCTGGATTGGGATGATGAAGAAGCGGATAGGGCTCTTCATAAGAAGCGCTGCGAGGTTAAGCCTTTGTTCGTTAGGACATGCGACATGGAAGGACGAGTGTAAAGGTTCGAGATGCAAGTAAATAATATCATATGTTTTGGCATGAATACATTTGATCAATCAATGATAACCGAAATCTAAGAACTTGCTGCGCTATAACGATCATCTTTCTGTATCTATACGAGATTATACTCAGCAATGAGCTTCTCAGCAGCTGTGATACCAGTCACGTAAGCAACAGACTGAATATGACAGCTCGCCAGAACAGGAACGACACCCATATCCGCGATACGAAGACCCTCAAAGCCAACAACCTTGAAATCACTATCAACAACAGCATCGGGATCTCCCTTCTTTCCCATCTTTGTAGTGCCGGTCATATGCCAACTCGAAGAAATAGTATTCTTCCAGTGCTCCAAAAGCTCATCATCCGAATCGCCCTGTGGTCCTGCAAGCATAGCCACGTTATCTTTAGCATAGCCATCATGCTTCACGAGCCTGAAAGCATCGCGGAGTGACTCAATAGCTACACGACGATCAAACGGCGAACCCAAGAACTTGGGGTCGAACTTGAGAGGAGCGTTGGGATCAGATGACTGAAGCGTAACTTCTCCTTGACTCTGCGCATTGTAGTAAAACACCAGAATACAAGAGTAATTGAGCGCAGAGTCAGGAAACTCGGGGATGAACCAATGGATAGGAAAGTGCGTAAGAATCTCATAATGCGGCACAGTCTCCTTCTTAAGAAACTCCTGCTCCTCCGCCGGCAAGGCCTTGAACTCGTCTGACTTGACGAGCTTATCAAGCTTGAACCAGCCAATGCCCAACTCGCAGGCAAACTTGGTCCAGGGGCCAGTACCGTCGCGACGCCATTGCTGGAGGGCGTCGTCCATGGCTTTCTTGTCGCCGTAGAACGTGTCGCGCGCGGTGTCGCCTGGTTTGCGGGTGTAGACTAGGGGAGTGAACATGTGGTCGCGCAGACCTTGGCCTACGCGGGGGACGTCTTTCACAATGGGGATGTTGAATTTTTCGAGTTGGGATTTGGGACCGATGCCAGAGTGCATTAGGATCTTGGGGGTGTTGAGGGCTCCGGCAGAGAGGATGACTTCTTTGGAGGCGAGGTCTGTGATGGTCAGTCTGTGTGCTCATAATTCCAAGATATCTCTCGCTTGAGATAAGGAGGACTCACATTTCTTGCCATTGACTTCAACGCCAATAGCCTTGTTGCCCTCCAAGAGAACCTTCTGGACAGTTGAATCCGTCAAAACAGTAAGATTCTCAGGCTTAGGTTCCAAGAGATCGTTCGCAGTTGATCTCCGTCCCTTAGCACTCGAGTTGATCAGAACCGACATTCCCAACGGATTTCCAGAATTATGATCAGGATTCAACGGAAAACCAGCCTTCTCAAAAAGGTCCAGCACAGGAGGGAGATCCTTCTCCCACTCGCCAGCATACCCAACATGAAGCTTCCCTTCGGAACCGTGGTCTTCCGCCTTGGGCGCAGCATACTTCTTATCAACACCCTCAGGAAGCTCTCCATGAAACGTCTCTAGACTCTTATACCGACCATGGATCTTATCCCAGCGATACGCATCATCGTCTACGATGCGCGCCCACTCTTCATAATCATCTCTCGCACCGATACTGTAAACACCAAAGTTGATAGCACTCGAACCACCGAGTCCCTTACCGCGAGAGTAATCCAGCTCGCGGTTGTTGGCGAATTCTTGGGGTGCTGTTTTGTAGCCCCAGTTCATGTCCTGGTTAAGAAAAGTGGTCCAGCGCTGCCCGTCGACGCGCAGGTTGCGGTCTTGGTTTGTGCCGCCGGCTTCGAGGAGAAGAACGGAGGGTTTCTTGGCGGTGCGGGAAAGGTTGGCTGCTAGGGCGCTGCCGGCTGGGCCGCCTGCGGAAGGAGAGTTTGGTTAGAACGGTGACTTGTTTAGTGGTGTTGATCCATGTGTGCTCAGGCATTGGGCTAGAGGCGGGGAGGGGGRGGGTTGAGTCAGGTCGCTCGGACATACCTCCTACGACGATAAAGTCGAACGGTGAAGCCATATTGACCAATTGGATGATAGGTATAGTAGAGAATCGAGTTATAGTCTCTGACTCAGTGGTAATAATGTCAATTGTTAAGATGAGGTGATTTTGGAATAAGAAGCAATAAAAAGGAATGAGGGGAAAGGGGTCTTTCTGGGAATATATATGATCTACAGCGCCTCTCCTCACCCGTTGGCTTTAGTCCAACCTAGCTCCATAGACTAGGTAGGCTAGGGCTTCTAGTGCAACGGTGTCTCATACTGTACAAGGTCCCCGATGACACAATGAAACGAAACCGGTATCGAACAAGATAAAACACTGTAACTAGGTACTCGAACCAACACGTCGTTGCACGCCAAGATTCTAGACCCTGTAAATTATGGTTTAGTTTCACGGCGTGGCTTCAACTTCTGACAGGCTTTGCTCACCTCGCCGCTTATGGGTGAGAAGTATATCAAATATGCAATTTGCGCCCTACAAGCCACTGTAAATATGTCAAGTCCATGTCTGACAGTACTGTCCTTATCATGTCTTGCAAAATAGTTCCACTTTCGAACAGGGTCTCACATAAGACTAGCCACGGGAATAGCAAACCTTCAATGATCTACAGACGCACAAGTCAGGTCGAAAAGATCAACCACCTGAACAATTAATTACTCGTGCCGCGGTCGATCCCCGTTCACATAATGTCTCCGGCTGTCAGTTAATGGACCACTTCCCACCAGCTCCTTGCCAATGCATGATTAGTACCGGCAGATCCATGCCGGATATGACGATTGCTCCGTATAGCGAACCCTGCTCCGTATAACGAACATGGCACGCCATGTTATACCTGCGATCTGCAGGGGCTGCGGAGCCGCACGGTTCAGCGAGCTATGCCTGAATTATTGGTCTTAGCAAGTCTTAGCAGGAGTTTTAGAAGGATGCGGTAGAAGGGAATGTAACTTTAATGTCATAGCAGACTTGTCAGATGCAGGTTTTTCGGCACTGCTGCCGTCGGCAGTGGCGAGGCGTGATTTCACTTTAATAGAGTTGGCCTGTCACCTGCGTCCGTGTTGTGTTTTGTTCTTGTCATCTCTAACTTTTTTGCTTTTGCTTTCGGCTCACAGATCTTGGTCCCAGAGACTCGGTAACCATGGGTATCGAGGAACAGTTCATCCTCCTCTCATTGGGGCTCGTCACCATTGGAGTGAGAATGGGCGTGCGAATCCGACAGATTGGGTTTGGGGGATGGCAGTTGGATGATTACCTGATGCCCATCACTGGTGTAAGTGGCGCAATCACCCGCAGATGCAATATGCACGGGACCGTTTACTGACCTGACCCTGTGTCTTGCAGCTTATCTTCACTGCAGAGACAGTTGCGGCGTATCTCGTCGGTGCCAAGTTCCAGGGCCTGACGAACAGTTACATGACGGATCAAGAACGCGCCGACATCGATATGAACGGGCAAGAACATTATAATCGGGTTTGGGGATCCAAGATTCAGGTTATAGGCTGGTCCTTTTATGCTTGTATTCTCTGGTGTCTCAAGTTTTGCGTCACTGCGTTCTATGGACGTCTTACGTATGTTGTTGTTGTCTGTGGTGGTGAGGATGTTGGCTGACGTTTGCAGTTCTGGATTGACGCATCTCAAGACTCGAGTGACGATCGCATACATTATTCTTGGTATTTCATACGCTGTTGTTGCGCTTACGATTTTACTGTCTTGTCAACCATTTCATCACTTTTGGCAAGTTTCGCCAGACCCTGGATTACTCTGTCAACCGACCAAGTCGCCGGCTTACGTGTTGGTTGTTGTTATTCCCAACATCTTGACGGATATCTACCTTCTTTCCATTCCGCTACCTGTAAGTCAAGTCTTCAGTTCAATGATGATCAGATCTGACCTCTGCAGCTTCTCTGGGGCGTCAATATTAGTTTGCGACGCAGACTCACGCTCATGCTGCTCTTCAGTGGTGCCCTCTTCATCATGATGGCGGGTACAATTCGCGCCGTGACAATTCTCACAGTAAGTTGAATTACATCTACAAAAGACCACTGACTAACAAATACCAGGCCGGTCCAAATGGCGCAGTTGCAGGAAGTCAATGGGCATGTCGCGAAACCTTTGTCGCAATAATCGTCACAAACCTGCCCATAATCCAACCCCTCATCCGCAAAGGCGCCAGCATGATCGGTCTCAGCGTGCTCTTCAGCCGCGGCACAAAATCGGCATCGCAGAGCCACCAGCTCCGCAGCAGCGAAATGGGCGGGAGCCGGTTCAACACTAGCCGCCGCCGCGGACCTGGTAGCTCGCACCCGCTAGCGACCGTTCCCCAGACCACGGCCTGGGCCAGCGACGAGCACATCCTCCCTGACGCTGGGAAACCTGCTGGGGCTGGGGGTGGTATCGTGGTTGCGCAGGAGATCAGCGTGCAGTCTGAGGTCACCACGGAGGATGAACGTGGGAGGAGGAGGGGGCCCGAGGGGAACGACTGGGGGTACAAGACGAGTGTGTCAAGGAGTCCATAGGGGTATGGCTTGGCTTGGCTTGACTTGGCTTGGGCATCAATGCAACGATAGGCTACGTTTGGGAACAGGGAAAAGGGATCTAGCGCTGGAATTAGAGATGGGAGTAACTTTGGCCCGCAAGGACTTGTTCTTTTCTATACCTATACTATAACAAACAATTAATGCTAATGCAAGAAGACCTTGACCGACCTGTGCTAGACACATTGCGTCGCAATTCGTTTGGGAAATTATCCCTGTAAGTGGATTTGATGAGCACTCGTAAACCCGCGGAGACCCGGATGATCGACATCCGGTGGATGGAGCTAACACACAGGGATCATGGTTTTAGCGTATCTTCAGCGGAAGGTTTCGTCAGTTATCATGAACCCCTGCCATATCACCACAGAAAAAAAGGAGAGGAGGAAAGTTCCGACTTTCCGAGGGTCGCACTGCTTGAGGAGTCTTGAAGATCAATCTACGGTTTGGATAACCGAGGTGCACTCTTTTTGTCAATGCTATAACTCATATCAATCTAGCACAGTGAAGAATACAGTGGTCACTTGAATCAAGCTAAAGCTAGTCTCCGAGTCCAGTGCAACTAAACTGGTGGCCGTTGAAGGATCTCATGTCTAACGGCAAAACACAGTAGGAAGGAGACCGTTACACGATGTTTTAAGCGACGGTCGAGCTTAGTTTGGGGTAGTGTGGGGGCATCGTGATACAGATATAGGTGAGATATACCTCTGAACCTTGGTAATAGCCCGGAGGTTAGCAGGATCTGCATGTAACGTTTTATTGTCCGCATGAACTAAATCTCAGGACGAGTTAAATCTCCGTTGAGCTATTGAAACGGGTTATAGCACTTCGGTATATTTCTGTTCGGGGTGATCGTTGCGTGTTTCTTGATATAACATGCCTTGGCCATGTTATGCACTTTTTGAGCAGCTTCTGACTTCAATGCCATTTCGGTATGTCTCATTTCCAACTCGTCATGTCACAGGCTCAAAGGTTCTGCTGGCCCGTGATGCTATAAAAGGCTTCTTATACTGCCATGACTCGGTGTCCTCGTACGATATGGCCCCTTCGACTCAGAACTTCCCAATCTGTGACTGAGATGTAACCCTCCACCGACTGCAGAGTTTCGGCTCCGCTTTCTTTTCGGGTACCTTGCTACGAAGCCTTGTTGCCCGTGAGCTACCGCAAAACTACCGATTCGCTCAACTGAATTATACAACAGGCTTCTTAAGATAGAGTTTCCGAATCTAAAATTAGTTTCAACGGGCATTCATCGTGGAAGCAAGCGCATAGTTAAACAAGCTAACGGCTTGATGCTCTGCGGATCTGTGTGAAGGATTCCGAATTTGTTTGTCCCTTTCGGATTATGCAACAGGTGCTGATATCTGCTAGTATCTTGGTAATTGTTGGCTCTACCACTGTCTTCAACGTGGGAGAGAACAACAACATGAGACCAGGTAGATTCGGTGATATATCCGTGGATTTCGGCACAAACCAGTCTCGTGTATTTTCCCCAAAACGCCATAACTTCATGCAGAACACTTACAGACCCTGTCCTTGACCTCTACAGAGAGGAAGGTAGTAAACCCATTCAAACAGCCTCCATTCCAAATGGACCTATTCCTGCCCTTCTAACTATAATGCCAGGCTCATTCCCCAGGTTATAACTCACGCATACCGTTCCACAAATTGCCAACATCCGTAAACTCCACCTCCTGCAACATCGACCACCAATTCGGAAACGGATCCGGCACCGAAGCATTAACAGCCGCGCCCATATTACTAGCCACCTGAACTTGACTCGCCACAGCTTCTTCTTCACGCCTTGCCGAGTTTCGATCTGCGTGGCTGATCTGCTGCAGATGCTGATCCGACCTATCGACAATTCGATATTCATGAATCGACTGGTGAAGAGTTTCGAAGTCGGCTCTTGATCTTCCGCGGTAACGTCCTGCGTCTTCTGTTGCTCTCTTGTATAAGAGTGATGAGTTCTGAATCGTTTTGATCTGTTCCGTTAGCTTCAGACTCGTAGATAGGAGGGATAGGCCTTACCCAGCCTCCTGCTAGTTCCCAGGCGTTCTGGAATTCTTCCAAATACTCTAGTCCCCAGTTCATAAGCTGTTCGGCTTTTGAGCTTCGATTGAGATTCATCCTGGGAAATCGAAATACGTAGAGATTGAGAAAACAGGCGGTGAAAGCGCAAAACCCGGAGAAAGGCGTCATTAGTGGAATTCCGCACTCAGATGCCTCTTGGAGAAGAGATGCGATCTGTTCAGCTGCGTTAAAGAGCTCTCGGGCACTTTCGTCCCACCAACCTGGTGGTGCTTCGGCCTCCAGAAGGGGAGGGTCTACTGGACCTCTTGGGGTCAAATCAGCTGTTGGTAGGAAGGGGAAGTACTCTCTATGAAGCATGATCGTGCTAGAGAATTTTCAGCATTACATCGTTACCATTGATCCAGAATAGGGTCTTCTCACCTCAAGTAGTACAGCATGTTCAAGTAGATGAACGACTCCCCATGTCCCAACGTCATATGCACCACGACGCTATGCTGCGGATAGCAGAGTCTCTCATGCTGGCTCTTCCTCCATTCTTCAAGTCTATCTCGGCACTGAGACCATGCCGACCCGGGAGCCCATGGACAATTCTCAGGTGCACACATACCCGGTGCACAGCGCCCATTGTTAAAGACAAACGACATTGCTTGGGCGTAAATGTCAAAACCAGCTGCGATAGTCTCAAAACTCTGTGCCAGTCCGGACAAACCACCAGTGCAGATATGGTCTAATGAAGCTCCGTCAAAGCCGAATGCAAAGTCGGTGTAGTTCAGTGGACGAGGAACTTTAAGCTTGTGCATCTCGGACATTGGAAGCATACGCGGGTTATATGTTCCTGAGTTGATGGTACAGTCCATGATGAAGCACGCCCAGTATGTTCTTGCTTCTACAGCTATGGCCATGACGTCTGTGTCATTATTTTGAGACATGTCGAGGGGGTGAGGGCTGACTCGGGAGCTATGAAGTGACTGCATGATGCGTATTGCAATTCCTTCATAACATCAGCAAAGTTCGTTTGAGTTTAGGAAGAACTTACCGCAGTGCATCCAAGCTTTGTGATACTCTCTCACTCCCCACTCATACAGCGTCAAGATAAGCAAGGCCTGAACGACTTGGACCTTTGGCGGTTGAAGAATAGCGTCAGACAAAGTACTCCAAGCATACGAAGCATAGCACTCGCTACTCTTCAAACTTCTCAGCCAGTCCCCCGTGCCAATGGAGCATTGCTTTCTTGTGATAGCTAGTATCGTAGCTAGCAAGGCCTTGCTCTCCTTGGACCGAGCGGTCTGATACTCCTTGATAAAAGCAGATGCCTGCAGTATCCTCAGCTCTGGAAACTTGGCAGTAAAGATATTCAGAGCCTTGAGAATAATCCCAATTGGCAAGCGGGCGAGATGCTCATCTACAGTATCAGATGCATGATATGAAGTCGTCTGTCTTGACGAGACAGGACTCGGTATAGGCTGGAATCCCGCCGTGCTCGATATCACCGATACATCATCCCTCGGCGTCAAACTCGCTTCGTTCTGTGCTCTCCTCACAGCTTTCTTTGCAGATCTGACAATTGGTCTTGTAATTTCGCAGCCCGATGTTCCGAGGCGTTGGCAGCGTTGACAAGGTGCACTTCCGGAGTGGACGCATTTGACCTTTGCTTTTCTTCACAACACCCAATTAGCCAAACGGCTCCTTGGTTACGGGTAAAGAGACTATGGGGATCTTACCGGCAATGCTCGCAGGATAAACTGGACCGCATGGTTCTGGATATGGCGGGAATGGACGGGGTGTCGGCTTTGAAGAAGGTGAAGGGCGAATAAAATTGAGACTCCGGTTTTCGGATCTCGGGTTTGGTGGAGGAGTTTGCAGTGGGGATTGGGGTGACCGACTTCCGACCATCAACAGACTTGAGACTTTAAAGAGTCTACCAAGTTTATCATGGATGATCCTGACTCGCTCTGGGATACTCTCGTCTTATAGGAATACCCTCCATAGCCCACCCGAATAAGAGTCTCAACTGCCCATCTTATCCTCACAACGCCGCCCATTCACCTGAATCCCTGATAACGCACACAAGCCGATATCTCAGTCAGAGACAACACTGATGTTATCGGTATAGCTCATTGAACTTTTTGATATTTAAGTATCCTAAGCCTGGCTTATGTATTTCTATCAGTAATCAATTCCTCCTGCACCATCAAAGGTCTCTCCATACAACAAGTTCTGCTTCCCTCGCAAACAAGCCCTTGTCAAGTCTCATTCAATGAAACAAACAATTAAATGCAAACCCCATCACACCGTCTCCTCAATTACATCACAAGATAAAATCTTATAAAATGTCACAACAAGCTCTCCAAATTGTAGTCTACGCCCCAGCTCCACTCCGAAAGCCACCCGAAATGTCAATGTCAGATCAAGGGCGCGCCGATCATCGGCCAACTCTAATCCTCATCTCTATAAGAAAATTTAATCCCCGAATATCAAAGCCAAGAAACCCCCAAACATTGGGATTCTAATCTGAGAATTATGAGCCAGACTTCAATTGAGCTGCGTCAAGACCCCGGTCGTGAAGAGGGCTTTGCTTCTTCAGGTCTTGACCTCACGAGCACTCACGAAAATGAAGTTTCTTCTCTTCCGCCGGTAGATGGCGGGAAGGATGCTTGGTTGTTCCTGGCGGCTTCTTTTATGGTTGAGGCTCTTACGTGGGGTGAGTTGAGCTGCCATTTATCGATGTACATCAACTGACTGACTGTATAGGCTTCCCTTTTGCGTTTGGTGTGTTCCAAGATTACTACAGTACCAATGCCCCCTTTGAAGGATCCTCAGCCATCGCCGTCATCGGTACTTGTGCAATGGTATGCACCATCACCTCCTCTCTATCACAATCCGCTCACATCCACAGGGTATCATGTATCTCGGGCTCCCCTTCACAATGAGCCTTCAACGTCTCTACCCAAGACAAAGTCGCTGGTCTCCCATGATCGGCCTCTTCATAATGTGCATCGCCCTCGCCCTAAGCTCATTCTCCCAAAACACAACTCATCTCATCCTCACCCAAGGCGTCCTCTACGCCATTGGTGGTTCCATCTCGTACTGTCCTTGTATCCTTTACATGGACGAATGGTTCGCCAAACGTAAGGGCTTTGCGTTTGGGATAATGTGGTCTGGGACAGGCCTCGCGGGCTTCGCGTTGCCGCTTCTCTTTGAGAAGTTTCTACATGAATATGGGTTCCGTACTACGTTGAGAATTTGGGCAGTTTCTCTGTTCTTGTTGACCTTACCGTTGGCGTATTTCATCAAGCCGCGGTTGCCGTACTCTGCGACGAGACATATCAATCCTCTCAAGTTGGGCTTTGCGTTGAGGCGAAACTTTTTGCTTCATCAACTGGCTAACATTGCTCAAGCGCTGGGCTTCTTCTTGCCTGGGATTTATCTGCCGTCGTATGCTCGGACTGCTCTTGGTGCTGGATCTTTTGCGTCTGCCCTAACGGTTCTTCTCGTTAACGTCGCTTCAGTCTTTGGCTGCGTCGCCATGGGTGCTCTCACAGATCGGTTACACGTTACAGACTGCTTCATGATTTCGGCAGCCGGTACCACACTGAGCACATTTCTCCTCTGGGGCTTCTCGACAAGCCTGCCCATCCTGTATGTCTTCTGCATCTTCTACGGCATCTTTGCGGGGTCATACACATCAGCCTGGACCGGAATCATGCAAATGGTATCATCAACACCCTCCAACACCCGCACCAGCGGAACTTCATTTGATCCCGCCATGGTACTAGGCGTCCTCTCAGCAGGACGAGGGATAGGAAACATAGCGTCCGGCCCGCTAAGTGGCGCGTTAATAAAGGGAATGCCGTGGCAGGGCCAAGCAGCAGGTGGATACGGGACGGGCTATGGGACGCTGATTGTATTTACCGGTGCCACGGCATTGGCCAGTGGCGCGACATTTGTCTTTAGAAGGGTTGGATGGATGTAAACGCCAGATCTCAGAATCATCGATCTATAGGCTCAAAAAGTACCATGCACCCCTTTAGAAAGCTGATTCCTAAATGCCTGACTCGGCAGATGAATTAGCCCTCAATCTAAAATTGAAACCCTTGGGATTGTTTGGGCGCACGCCAATGGCAGGGTCCAACTGACACGCCTAGTCTGACTTTTGACACTAGAAAACGGGGTCGATGAAGTGCTTATGACACCATGCTTATGCAAGTCTTTCGGTGAGCCAGCCACTCGGCCGAAATTGCTTCTAGACTGCGTTCTTTTCTGCTAACTCAGGGTGGGATCGTCGATGAGTAGACAATTCGATACGACAGATGTATATATCTAATCGCTCACGTCGTTTCTTTTTCAGATAGGGAGAAGTTTCCTCTTTACATATCTCTCTTCAGCTGATCATCAAAAATATATAAACATGGCCCTTCAAGCAGATCACGCGACATTAACGGCCCGTGGCCAAGACTACAAGACTGAAAACGCAGCCCTCGAGTCCAAGATCAGGTCCTTACAAAGCGAAATTCAAGAAATAAAGTCTTTACTTGACAGTCATAAACATTGCAGCAAATACCCTCAGACTACCACAACAGCATTGGATTCGAAAGTGGAAGAAGAAGAAGCAGCATCTCTCAAGTGTCCGGCTTGAGAGGAACAACGTAACAATAAACGATGCAGGAGATTGGGATCAATGCTGACTAGGTGTCTCAGTTTACGTTTCAGTGAAACGGGTACGAAATATGGAGGTACAGGCTGACGGGAGGGGCTGAGATCGGATCGACGGGATTAATTTGGGAGGCTTTGATACCAATGGTTGGGAAATAGACTGATGACGGAATACCACGGATGACATAGAGTAATAATGAGCATGACACTTTTCTTCGTATGCCTCACACCTTTCTATTCGCTCCTTGAGGTGAAATCGTGTCACTATTGTCGCATGTCGTTCAGCCTAGGTCACATCCAAGAGATGGGGTACATATGATCGCTTAGAGAGTTCACCTACGTCGCACCCGATCTGGAGTACGTATTTCCTTGGCACGTGAGTCTCTTGCCGATCTTCGATGCCTTATCCCGAGAACTGGTAAAGTAAGCCGAGGTCTGGTAATACATTATCCATATTTAGTAGTATCATATCGTCCAGCCATGTCGATCAGCCCCAGATTTATCTAACGTCTTCTTATTCTACAGGACCGAGATTATTTTGAGTTTATCAATCAAGAAAGTGACAGGTGATACTACTGCAAGTTGTGTCCATCATCACCCCGCGATGCCAAAATATGTGCTGTACGCGCCCGTTGACGCGAATAGCGCGGGTGTCGCATTGACATGGTGAACTTGAGTTTCTCACATGTCTATGCGTGGCGGGACGTTATTGGAAGTTTTGATCGTCGACAGGGTTTCGTGAACTTTATGAGATAGCTAAACGAGGTATTTACGAGCCACACTTCAAGTCGCCCTGCTGTTCCTGGGGACTGCGACCTCACTTTTGATTCCCTGCTCTCAGTCAAATGAGTGATTTGAAATCCAAGTAAGTCAAATGCATTTACTGCAGCATCATTGTGTCATCAGCATGATCTGGGTTTGGTGACAACTGTGAGTCTGTGACTATCTAGGGGTTCTGAAGACACAGTCCCCATGTGCCTCACCATTATCTAGCCAATAGAAGTTTGAATGGGTGTTGAAGATATATTTAGACCTTGCATACATTATGTACGTATCATTTGTAGTAGTCAGCTCAGGGTAGTTATCACTACTGTCTCGGTAACAGTCTGCGATACCAGATTCATATAGCTGGAAGGGCTAGGACGCATTTCATAAAACATTTGGCTCAATCTGAAACCTAATGGTAGCTGAGATATCTATCGAATACTAAGGGCTTTCTCCGGCCACCATCATTATAATACGTTTCGTTGAACCTCAATGACCAGATCTTCTTCTCTGTTTCGCCTGGTCATGCTTGCTAACTCAGCTCTCACTTTCTGGTCGATATCTAAGTCCAATACAAGTTAGATGTTACAAAAGGCATCATTTCAATTAGCTAGAAGTTTGAAACGAGATTCCACATCTCAGCTGGTGTTGTTCAGCTACGTTCATATGAAATATTGGTCAGCTGTAACCAGGAGCAGACTGCGAACCGAACTGAGGCATTAAATCTCATGGCATTTTCAGCAGTCCCTACATATATTTTATTTCACCCTATCTATTATTTCTCACTTGAAAGACCATTGCAGAAGTGTTTCTGTTTGTGCGTGTAAGTGATGAAGTCGGTTGAGTGTGAACAGCCTGACAGTGAAGCAACTCTGTTGACCTTGCAACAGCTACATTAATGACTACTTCCACTCATTGCTTCCAACTGTGAATTACTATGGACATTTATCTCAGCAATGTCTCGTGTGTCTTTTTGCCATTAAATTACCGACTGATCGAGGGAATCGCAGGGCAGTGTGATGTTGTCCTACACACTGTATCAGACACTGTGTTTTGTGATCGATGTTTATCACGAGTGAGTAAAGTGTATTACAGTACCATTTCCCATCACTAAAGACCCTATAATTCATCACAGGTAGTCATGTTCTGAATGTCAAGATACTCCTTAAAGTCTATCGCTCTATCGTTGATGAATAATCCCCCTCTCTAATCGATAAGTTGAATGCCGAATGCTACGAGACCCGCTTGCGTCATCGCCACCCTCATCACTCACTAACAAGAAACACTCAACGCATCATATCACTTCACTTCACTTCACAACCCTCATCACTAACC